TGAGCTGGTATCGGCGTTTGGGTAAACGCTGACCGGATGTCGGTTGTAAAAGCCGACCACTTGTGGCAAAATGCCTCTGTGAGGGCGACCCTCACCACCTCGGCGGGTACTCCCGCTGCGTACAAGGAGTCTGCATCCACATGGGTAGCCTGGTTGCCACAGCCTACAAGCCTGCACTTGCGCTTGTACAACCCCTCGTTTGAACTCCCTGGTGCCTTTGCGGTGAAAACACCCTTCAAGGAAATGACTGTTGTCTCTGGATTCGCAATCAGATCCCTTGCCTCTTGGCCAAAGTGACTCACCAGCACACCTTGTTTCTTGAGGGCACCAAGCTCTTTCTCAATGGCAGGCCTCCACCGCTCGAGGTGTGCACGCACCTCCTCCTGAGATGCCGTATGAGTCACACTCAAGGGCTCCTTCAACTGCTCAAGCACAGCCTCAAGACCCTTTGTAGTTGCTACCTCAGCTTTGCACGCGAACCCCTCTGGGTCCTCCTCACGACGGGGTTGGTTGGGTACAACCCTGATGAATGCAGGATTGGGCAGAGGTATTGGGAGCTTGTCAGGTCCTTCGACCCGCTCGCATGAACTAGGTCCTATGCCTCTCACGGCATGAACCGCTGGAGGCGGAGGTCCAGGTGGCTGCAGAACTGGTGCCATCTCCTCCTGACGCTGCTCCTCCTGAGGTGGGCGTCTTGCTTCCACACGCAGGATCACCATTTCGACTACATCTCGAATCACATCATGCACCGAAAACATGAGCATGCGGTCAGGGAACGGAGACTCTTCTGTGGGACCATCGTCTGCAAAGTCCAGGACACGTGCAAGTAGGCGGGGCTCACCCCCGGCTCCGGGCACGACCACCTCTGGATTACGATTCCAGTTCCTTTGTCGAAACACCGTTTGCATGAACAGGTGATGAGGGATTGAGGCCGACAGTGCGTTCATGTTAGGGTCCTCATCCTGTCCTCCAAGCACACGCTGCCAACGACCTATTCTGCGCTCGAACTCTTCCTCTTCAAGCTGGCACAACTCTGCCCATTCATCACCAGTCATCCTTGCATACCTCACCATCATGGCTGTTCTTCCTGGAGGTGGCGGGTAAGGCCTAGCTCGCACACCAGGCAACCGGGTAGGGCACGGTCCGACCAACTTACACACCGTCGGAGTGCGATCCAAGGAAGGCAA